GCCGTCCTCGTGGCTTTTTCTCCTTCGGTTTTTCCTCCGCCTCACGTACCATTTTCAATACTTCCTTAGTACTAAAGACAAATTGACCTTGTAATTTGACTCTTTTGCCTTTAGTTCTTTTCTTTCGAGTCTCAATCACCTCCTGAGCATCAGAGAGCTGTTTCCGAAGTAGGGCTATCTCAGCATTTTGAGATTCTACAAGCCTAGTCATTCTCTTGGCATATCGACGAGTTGGCGATGCAGGAGAACCACTGCTTGCTAGAGCTGTATTAAAGATCTGATTTGCTTGCCTTAGTTCTGTTCCATCTGGAGGAGAACTCCTGAGTATAGACAAGTCTAGGTCTTGATTGGGGGTTCTCATTTGTGGAGTAGAAGGTTGCTGGGAGGAGTTAAATGGTAATGAATCGAGTACTTTTCGTGGGGCAAAAGGTACTAAACCAGCTCCTCTCCAGCCAGCTTTAATATTAGAAGAATTCAATGCTTTTTTTCTAATATTTTGAAAGAGTTCTACCCATTCAGCTCTTTGGATTCGCTTTACACCAGCTCGAGAATATCGATCGACCTCTAAAGCATGATATCGTTTCATTGGCCCATACACCGCAATAGCAAGTGGCTGAAGCAAGTGAGAGCAATGAGGAGGTAATATAAGTAAATCAATATCATTATCTATACAGAAAGCAATAAAGCTACCTGTAATATGGCTTGAATGGCCATCCATGATCAAAAGTCGAGGTCGGTCACCTGACACTTTCTTGGATTCTGGTTCGAAAACCCTTTTTAACCATTCTAATCCATGGCTATTTGAGGTCCATCCATTTGTACTAGTAGAGAACTGCCAGCTTTGAGGTGTGTCCTTTGGAATCCATGCAGAATTCGTATTCTGAGCCTTGAAAATGACCATAGGTGATAGAGCATTTCCAGCTGCATTGACACATTCAAATGCAGTTATCCATTCTTGCTTGCCAGCTGTAACTTTCCAATTCGATTTCTGAGTAGAATCGACTATAATGCGCGTACTTTGAGTACTTCCAACTCCAAATCCGGTTTCATCCATATTATACATATCATCTAATTCATACTTTCGCTCAATGAGACGCGTGCGAAACGCGTCAAACCAAGCCTGAATATTCTCCGGAGTTGCTTCTTTAGCCCGATTAGACTCTAATTGACGTGAATAGCATGTTTTAAGTTCTGGATGTCGTTTTTGGAATCTATAGATCCATTCGTGGCCTATAGGTGGAATTTCTGTCGAGGTAGGATTTCGAGATGACGCGACCCGAACGCGTCGAAGACGAATTTCGTCGGCCATTTCCTTCACCAACATAGGTGTAGCAGGGAATCCAGTGATGGTAAGTTGTGAAATCCATCGTACAAGAGTATTTTCTTCTGCGTTTGAAAGAATTTGAGCCATTTCGTGGGTTTGGGAACGTGTTTTCTTCCCAGCCAGCCTATCAGCTAGGGTAGACTTAGGGACTTCAAAATGCTCTGCAGCCTTTCTAATTGATTTAAATTCTTTCAATTGAAGTGAAATTATAGCCTTTTGAAGCTTCTCTTCAATTTGAGCAGATGTAGAAGGTGATTGGGTATGCATAATAAAAGTTATTGCGGTTTCAAGTTGGTGATGGGCTAAAAGTGTCCGAGTTCCCCATATGTCCGAGTTCCCCATACGTTACGTTATCTTTTTTATCAATATTTTCGGTAACTTTAAATCTTCTTCTAATATAAATTCAAGTTTCATTCTATAATATAATAAGAAAACTAGGGTCTAAAAAGGTGAATAAATGAAGGTTTTAGTCGGAAAAGCGTTACATGTACGGTGAGTAGATTCGATAACTCTTATAATAAAACCAAACAAATCACAATAATGATCCTTCCTCGCTGATTGTTCTCTCGCAGTCTCGAATAAAGTGAGTTCATGTGACACTGACCAAGAACAACGAATATTTAAGTCGGGTACCCTACTTTCGAACCACCCCCCTTTTGAACCACTTTTCACACTAAAAATGGAATTTTTAACTTTCTTATTTATAAATAGAATTTATTGAAAATTTATATATATATAATTTAGATCATTTTTAGTTTATTTTGAAAATTTTAATTTTTCGGGATTTTTTTATATTGAGATTTAAAGCTTCAAAATATCGATTTTTAAATTTATATAGGAATTATATATAAATTTGAAACTTTTATAAAATCTTTAATAACTTTTTGATAAAAATTGCTAAAAATAAATTATAAAGTTTTATTATAATTCTATAGTATATTTATTTTGAAAGATTAAAAAAAATAGAAAACTTTTTATAAATAGATATTTAGAAGGATATTCTTAAAATTGTAGGGATTATTCATATTACTTTAAATTTATTATATATTATATTTTTATATTTGTTAATTTTTTTGAATTTCTATATAAATTTAAGTTCAGAACTTTCAAAAAGATATATAGTTTTCTTTTAATAATTGTTGTTAAAAAGTTATTAAAGATTTTATAAAAGTTTTAAATTTGTATGTAATTTTTATATAAATTAAAAAATCAATATTTTGAAGCTTTAGATTTTAATATATAAAAATCTGGAAATCTTAAAATAGATTTAAAACGATATGAATTATATATATACAAATTTTCAATAAATTCTATCTATAAATAAGAAAGTTAAAAATTCCATTTTTTGAGATTTTTAGTAGTAAAGAATGGCCCAAAACAGGGGTGGCCCGAAAGTAGGGTACCCGACTTACTCAGAGCCGTGTGAAAGAAGCAATCTTCTCGAAAGGAATATACGTACTCTTGAAACAAGGTGTCAAATTCATAGAACAATAATCATTCACATAGCTTTAAAGAGGGCTCTAATTACCATTGGCGACCGTCATCGATAGCAAAATCAGGGATTATCGCTTCTCATTTAAGAGGCCAGCGTTATGAAATGAGGATCTAGGTATCTTCTTTATGGCGTTCCTGGGTTTAAAGTGGTTATACTTGACTGTACCCGAAGGCAAAGGTTACCTGGAGATTGGAAGAGAGTGTCAAGCTCTTTATTTAGTTGTAGAAATGGCGTGGAGACGACCCTTTATTTTCTCAAGTAGAGTTGCTGTGTCTTTCACTGCACTGAAGGATAGATGCACTGTTCTCAATATTATGTAAACAGGGAATAGTGACATGCCAAAGAATTAAAGCAGGAAGTGCTGACACGAATGTAGACATCCACACCAAGAGATATTGAAAATCGACGGTTTAGATAAAACTGATGAAAAATAGACAGCCTAAAAGACCCGTTCAATCCCATTCATTCGAGCACCACCATACTACCAAGATGTATTTCAGGAAATTTGTGGAGTGGATTTATATTATATATAAAAGCTTCATGATACATACGGGACTGAGCATGATCGTTTGGTCCAGGGAATCTGACTCTGTCGATCTAAGTATGGTAGATTACAAAAAGAGCTCCGAGACGACTATAGAGTGTCTTATAGGTCTTTGGACACTTGCAGATTACGCTCCGATTCCTGGACATTAAAGTCTCGCCATTGATGCTCTGGAATCTCATAGGAACCTGTTGCATCGATTGGGTTAAGCAGCCCCAAGAAGTGACTGCCCTTCTTCATGGACTCTTTAATGATGATAGCAAGCTTCGTAGATGGCCTATCAGTTCTTTCGTAGCTGCTGTCGAGATGGACTATCTAATCATTCAGGCCCAAACCAATCTTACATAGATATGCAACTGGATGATGTCGCTTATTCTATAGCTGGTGATCCAAGACTTGATGGGTTTACCATGAGCAATTGAGCGGCGGTGGTACCATTCTATATCGAAGATTCGGTGATGCCAGAGCAGGTAGTTGAGGGTGGATAGTGGTGCCATGGGAGAAGTTTTGGAGATTCGTTGAATAGAGGTTATAGAAGAGGAGGTTCGCTTGTTTCTCTAGTTGGAGCATTCTAGTAGTCAGTAAAGGAAAATGATGCAGATATTTGATTGAGCTTGACTTACTGGCATATGTTCTTTGCAAAAATGCAACAACTATCTACCAAAAACACCTTTGTCAGCCTTGAGATATGCTACAGGATGAGAGATCAGACGAGAGACAAATGGGACTCAATGCAACTCGGATCTAATATTTTGAAATCTCCGCTGCTCGTTTAAATCTGTTTAAAAATTCACCCGGTATACAGCCTTCTATATATGATAGTTCGTCAAGCTATTTAAAATTCCCACCTTTCATAAATTTTCCCTTTCCTCCAAGCTTTGTACAACTCTTTTATATCACCACTTTGTGGAACAATTCGATCAATAACTTCTTTCAACATCAAAAAATGCACCTAAAGGACCCTTTTGAGCTTTAGAATATTAGTCGCTCTCAGCAGCTTGATATAGAAGTCGTCTTTGCGATTTCTAGAAGTCATTTCTTGCTGCGACACGATTTCAAAAGCAATTACTTCAAAGTTTCAAACGTTCTCAACCTTCTTTCGTCCATAGCAACATATATCACTCTTTTCGCATAGTATTAGGTTCTTGTTTGTTTGGTAAGCACATGAATAACCTCTGATCTCTCTTTCATCAGCTTATCGACGTCTCTAACTCGACATATCCTCTTCCAGACTGAAGTTATAGGCTTCCCTCTCAAGCTCTCCGATTGAACACTCAGCACTACACCAAATTTCACTTGCGAGTTATCTGCCGTCTGTTAGTATGCCTAATCCAGTTCTAGTCATTGTTAACCTTGTACCTCGATGGTGTGGCTAACTCGTATCCTCTTTCTCTAGTTCATTTCGAAAGCCTTCTTCTTGATCTACTACACCTTAAGCCCCAGAGTCCCTCTTACAGACCCACAAGTCTCTTTCAACAGCTTGTAAGTAATTCTTATTCGTCATTCAGTTCTAATCAACTCAACTAATCTCGCTTTAGAAAGACTTGCTGCGCCATTAGGTCCCTTCGGTAACCGAAACTCCCTGTTGTACAACAACTTCCTCACATTTACACCTCTATACAAACACCTGTTCAAGTATGAACAACAACGTCAACAACTGGCAATGGGGCCAGCATGCTGGTCCTGCTCCTCTTGGCGTCTTCTCTGCTAGTCCAAATCGTGGTCAGCATGGTGCTAACTACGACCGCAACGCTGTGATTGGACCTTATCGTTCCTACAACCTCGTCGTTCGAGATTATCTCGTTGGCAACTTGTCCACGTCACACTCACCTCCTATTTATAGAGGAACCTTCTATGAACATAGGGCTACCTCTACCAGCTTGATTGGGGTAGCTAGCGGTACAACCGCCTATCCTGCTCTCGGTACGGTTTCTGCTAACCCGACCAATACCAATGAAGCTGTGCGGGCATTAAGCCGTCTAGATCTTGATGCGACTAATCGTAGTCAAGGTCCTACTTGGGAGTAAGCATCACCTTTTTCTTCACTATATCTACCCATCCTATTTATAAAATCGATACTAACTATTGTAAAACAGAGACGCACCAATGGACATGGTAACAATCTATATCAAGGGCGAGGATGGTTCAATAGACGGTCCTCCTTTTAACCTCCACAAGTCCTTCTTCACACACCTCTCGCCATACTTCGACGCTGTCTTCAACTCTAGTTTTGCCGAATCTGCCACACAGACTCTCCACTTTGCTGAGTCTAATCGGGAGATCTTTACTATGCTTATCGACTGGGTATACAAGAAGCAGCTAAACACTCTTGCCGCCTTTGAGCTAGTTGATCGCAAGAACCTTCCTGTCGGTATTGGCTTAAGCACACTTCAGGGTAGCGACCTTGATAAATATATCACCAAGTCTCAAGCAACTGCCTTTGAACATACCACCAAGCTTATCGATCTCTGGTTTCTTGCCGACAAGGTCTTGATGCCGGAGTTACAAAATTCCGCCATCCAGTCCATTGAGCTTCTCCGCTTCTTCACTCCGCTGCAAGGAGTTCCAGCAGAAATCTCCCGTGCCGTCTACGATAAGACACCAAAGGACTCTCCACTTCGCAAGTACCTTGCGTATACTACACTTCGTCGACTCCATCCTCAGTCTGAAGACAAGGGCGAGGATTTCCATCCTGAAATGCTCGTAGATATCTTTGATATCGTCAAGGTAGCTGGAGCTGATGCGAAGCTACGTCATTACGGCTTATCCGAGAAGGCTATGGAGTCGTTCTTGGTGGAGGCTAAGGGGGGAATCCACCTAAAGGCTAACCCTAACACCGTTGCGCCTCTTGCTGATGACATTTGGGTTAGTTTGTGGGAGGTTAGAAGAAATGCTTTGAAATTCTAGACAGAATTCAAGTAAATTGGGGTAATTTTGGGAGGGATTTTGGTACTTTGGGATTCTTTTTGAGAAACCTTGACTGGAAATGAGATAAATAAACTAGAAGATAGCTTGCCTAACACTAATACACACCTTTTTGACCACAACAAGCTGGTACTCTGGTGCATTGAAATGAGGGAGATAAGCTATTCCTTGACAGAAACCTGTAGAAGTAGATTCTGGTGATGGTGTGAAGTGAATGAAGTCATGTCTACTCACAATAGATATCGAACCAATTATCGATGTGAAAAGTAGATATCTGGGGGATTTAGACATGATTTAGCATCGACATTAGTGAAAGTGAACTAAGTTGAAGATACAAAGTCATGAGTTGGAGTAGGTATTCAAGCCTAGTTTGACGCTGAAGTGTTCATCAAATGAAGGTAAACTTGGATATATTGGCCTCAAAATGACTCGAAATACCCACCAAGTTAATACACGATGATAAATATGCAGTCAGAATTTGAGCTTTGTTGGAGTAGCTTGTTGCAAAACTTGTCATTTTTATGACAAAATGCCTTCATTTTGATGAAGATTGCAGGTATTTTCAAAGAGAATTTCACCGAATGATCTACACTTACAGTGTGCTAGCCTATAAATACAGAGCCTCAAGCCTATTGCCTCAGGCCTACATGCCATATATTTGATATCAAGGCCCAACTTCCAGGCCTTCAAATGAACGTTCATCGATCATTTTGACATCTTTCATTCATCGAAAACATCGGACGAGAGTGTTGTCAAATGTTCGTCCTTAGGACCGAGTCGCCGGTGCTAATGTCTGATCTTTCAATTCTGAATGGGTTTTGATGTCTAAGATGGGAATTGGGGTTTCGAGATTTCAATATGACACTTTCAGGGTATTAGATTTAAGTCACCCATTCTTTGGAATCTACACTTATACTAGAGGACCATTATCTGATTGTTTCAATACTGGTTTTTTTAAACCTCTGGATAGTATCAGATATTCTCAGCATACTATTATAACACTTCAAGAATACAAAACACATTTCTTCTTTGTTCACTACTGATTTGTTTATCGTAGGACTATCGTCAAATTTTTAGGAACTAGAATATTATCGTTAAGTTAAAGTAAACTCTCTCACTAGCCAGTGGTAACAAAGTTGGTCTCTTGTAAAAGAAGCGTTCAATGATTTACAATTCAGATAAATAACAAGAGACTATAAGTCGGTATTTAGATTTATCATTTGTTATATACACGTTGATTACTCTAGATATTCTAGGCTCTTATCTTCAGCTCATTAGACTAAAACGCACTTTAATAAAGAAAAGAAGGAATTCATTCCACTATATTCTTTAGAGTTTTCACGGGTATATGAATGGTATTCAGATCGACTTCATATGCTTGATAGAATAGTCGTAGAAATATCAGTCTAGAGTCGGTTATATAATTGCGATTCGCGTATGTGTTAGCGTACTATTAATTCGTATTCAACGCCTGGATAGCCCCCTTGAATAGTTGATATCAAATAATCTTGTCTATCATTTTCAACAAATGCGACGCGATTTGCACAAATTTCTCTGAGAAATGCTGCTATTCGAGACTATTCTTACTTAAGTCATACGATGAGTTTGTTTCAGAAGTTTTTATCGAGGTCGCAGACTTCAGAATCTGTAGTTTTCTAATCTCAGCAGCATACAACCAGATTTATTTGATTCAGAGGACTTTAGTAGACAATAAATTTATATCCCAAGATAAGTTGAGTGATGATGATATAAATGTATAGCCCTTGATTGCGCATTCTACCACCTTTATCTCGTCGTTTTACAATTCTCGTATGATAGCAGAGTCATTGGGTTTAACAATACAGAACAATTTCATATTCGCACTCAATTCATCCAAACAACTATATTTAGATATCTAAAAAGAAGTCATATGATTCGGGATTCCTCTTCTGTCATCTTGAATGATTCGGGAAGGAATCTAGCTAGCGATTTAATATCTTTTAGAGAACAACATTCAACATATGATAGGAGAACAATTATGATTGTGAAATTCTATAATAAGTATACTAAATCACTTATTAATATCTCGCCAAGTAAAAGATAAATTGATGACTAATACATGTATAATATGATTTTATATTATTATATTATTATATTATTATATTATTATATTATTATATTATTATATTATTATATTATTATATTATTATATTATTATATTATATTATAATATTATTATATCTCTTATCAAATTGATTTATAATGAAATAGAATTATATGAAAGGTTGTTGTGACACGTTACCCTGTAGCGCAGCTTATATAAGAAATAACTATAAGTAGTATAGTCTCTCTAGAGAAAAATAAGATAGCTTTTATAACCTTATAATGTTTGCCTTATAGTTGTTGATAAAACAGACTAAATTGAATGATTGTACTTTCTTTTTCTAAAGAAACAAGGCAGTTGAGAGATGAATATAGGAGAGGAATATAAATGATTTAATAAGATTCGATTTAAATCGATCTTATTTATAAGTATAAAAACTACTAGAACTTCATTATAAACTATATAAACCTAGAACATTCTTTGAAGAAACCCTAGAAAAAGCAAGAAAATTCAGTTCAATCAAGCTCTTTCTTATCATTTGACTTCAATTCAACTCTTCTATCATATATTCGATCTATCCCCAAAAGCCTAAAAGTGATCCAGTCTTCCACTACTACTAGAATAATAATATTATTATTATTCTAGAGTTTAACCTCCAAGAATGATGTCGAAACCCGGATCAAATTTGTTCGCATCTAGTCGCTGTTTTCATGAGGTTAAAAATGCCAATATTCAAATGTGATTCGTAGTTAGAGTAGCTTTGTTTGACTGTTCACGCCTCGAGCACTCAAAAATCACTGTTTATATAGACACTCGGAGGTAAGATATCTTGAGGGTACCAGCTAAGAGCAAACCAATTGCCTAGATAGAGAATGTTGTTGAGGTATCTAGCGTCCGAAGATCAACAGGATAATACGCCACGTATCAAGGCTTGACTTGAAAATAACAAAAATGCCGAGTTCGTGATGTTTCACCAAGTCAACAATTCACTTAACTAAAGAGAAGCTCATGGAGACTCCGAAATGAGGTGATAACGACGGTGATATTCAAAGAGATTTAGAAGTCGACGTGGTTTGTACATGAAGATGTAATAAAATGAATGCGAAATGCATTCGATAGATAATTCTCTAATGCCGGTACCTTCACGATATCTGCTTGGATTTTGAATAGAAAACTTTATACTGCTACAAGGAACCCTAACGATTCAACAAAAGTTTCCGGAAGGTTTCTGTGATACACGAGAAGGATCCAACGTCACATTCAAGTCAATTATATTCTTATCCATGATGGTGAAGTCTCGAGACGAGTTACTTTGCCTCGCCATCTTATCTTTACAAGCTTTCTAGATGAGCTATCTCGCTCCAGGTGTATTTCTCTGCGGGGCTAGTGAATGATATCATGTGTTACTAGGTCAATCATACCTTCTCGCCAATGTCCTGCGGCCTTCGTTTGAGCATGTATTACTTGCAGAAAACCCCTTGCAATGTTATGCTGCTCTTAAAATCGGAGCTCCGTCTCAATTCTCCATTAGCTTGCGACAAAAGTTCATGTCTGACTCGGTAGATCATATCGATGTTTTACAATCAACATTCTTCTCCCACAATCCTCGCTTCATTGAAATGGTCGGCGCACGATACGACAAATTAAAGAAGTTTTGTCACGATACTACCACTGATGCGCCCGAAACTATAACCTCCCTATTCTTCAGCCCCGCAGCAATTGTCCTACTGCAAAACCTCATGGGTTTTCGGAACTCTTTGAACTCTTTGATCCTTACGATGAAACGAAAGGTTATCATAGAGTGGTTCCCCTCGAGGCTATGGCAATACTTTGCTCTATTCCTTTTTTCTCTATCATTCGCATGTGCATGTACGCTCGCCAAAAGTTCATTGGTAACTCTACCAGCCTCTTGGAGCTTCAGGATTTTCTTTGTAGGCTAACAGCATTTGGAACATGGGAAGAAAGCGATGGTACATGACGCTGAATTTCGAAAAGCTTCTCCACGCAACAGCTGGCGAGGAGAAAATATGAAAAGGTCAACAAGACTAACGAGTATTCCGTTATTCGTCAACTATGCGTTTAAGGTTGTGAAGGGGAAGATAATGGAACCAGAACAAATAGTAGACGAGATCTAGGCTTGTACTTAATAGTGACGATACTACATAATGCATTGCCAACGCCAGGCACAACTTGTTGGTGCCTTGTTGAATTAACAGTATGACCTGACGATATACGGACAGTAATCTTGAGGAGAGACAAGAATCTGGTCGAACTCAATATGTGAGACGAGTAGTTAATTGGCATCCCAAGCATCCTCTTTCACTTAAAGCTCTTTTTCTTGCGACTTGATTCCCACTACAACAGGCATTGAAGTGAACATCGATGGCCATTCCAAATCCACCAGATCTTGCTTTCCATTACGACAATATCGCAGCCAAATTGACCACGTGATATTATTGTACGCAGCAATTCCTGTCAAAATATGCCTGTGTACATTAGCTTTCTCTTCTCAGCTATTGAAAATAATAAAGATTAAAAGACTCACCACCATCCATGGCCCTCCAGCAAAATACCCCACGGTAATCCCACTTCTCTCCTCCATTTTCTAATGGTTCCACAATAAATATTATCCAAATTCCAGATGAAAAATGCAAGCGCTACATAAGTTAAGCCTATGAAATTCAACTTCCACATCTGGCTCAAAATCTTGCTATCTCTCTCGTCTCTTCTTTTTTGCTGCACTGTAGGGACCTTTTCATCTTTAACGCGACGCTTTGGATTGAGTATATGCTCCATAATCCACATGCTTCGAAATACCACAATGGCGGTGAGTAGTGCAAACATGTTCTGATGGAATACTGGATTTTGAAGGTAATGATAGTATAGAGTAATAAATATCGCAAGCGCAGAAATTGAGATAGCGAGCATGAAACGCGACAGTGGGGATTTCTGGTGCGCAAAAACGGAGTAGGCTAGGATGCACTCTAGATAAATCATAGCCAGTTCGTCCACAAGCTGCATGGGGTCTAGAAGTTGTTAAATTCTTCCGTTTATTTAGGAAGGAAAAGAAGAAATATTGACGAACAAATCAACGTAGAATGGAACAACATGCTTCCGACTCCAATAACCAGATAACTGAGAAAGGCAACAAGGAAGACGCGGTCATGGCCATATCTGATACAGCTGGAAATCCCCTTCCAAGCCAAGATCACAAACATCAAATTGGTAATCGTATTCACGATCTCAGCCGAATAGATTGTAGCATAGTAGTCCTACACGGGATGTTAGTAGAGATTAGGGAGAATGAGAGAGAATGAATGGAGGCACGTGCTTCTTCGCACCAATTGATGGTTGAGGTTACGGGGCCCCAGTATCCTGGGCCTGGAGAAGGGTAGGGCGTTGATGGTAGCATGTTGTCAATGCTTATCTGGTGTTGAGATGATGCCGTCGTTGTTCCTTGAGGATATAGATAGGTCTCTGGAGATCCCAGGAAGATGAAGAATTGCAACAGATGACGGATGGGGAGATTAGTGATATGGCATTATGAGAAATGAGATCCCTTTTAAACTCTTCTTGTTAATAGCAATACGGTGGAATACGAACCAAAAGAAAGATATTTACTTTGCAATCTACAACATGTGGCCTTTCGACCAGTGAAAATTTCATCGTCGAGCATAAGATTTATGTTGTATCACGTGATATTGTGCAGAACAAATAGTTGACTTTAACTTTACCGAATCTCGGATAAGAGCTTTCATGCCGAGCGAGCGTGTTTCATTGCTCTTTATACTGTGCAAGACATCTTCTATCTTTCCACTCCCCCCCTTTTTTAATCGAAACCGAAAGGTCTTTTCTTCTCTCTAAATTCACTTCACTCGTTTTATTTATTTTCCAGTCTCATCTTTCTATTGCTTCAATCCCGTCATTCTAGGGTAGATGCGACAGTGTTTCAACCCCAGGATAATGAATGACAAGGTACAGAGATTGAAGTGTCCACCCAGAGGTCCACTTTCATCTGCGGAACCAGCTGCGATTGAACGTATCGAAATATTTTAATGGGATCGCTCGTGGTGACGCGTGATATCCACGCTATCATTAGATTTGGAAATGATGAACGACGACGACGATGAGGTGATGCGCACAGGGCTTGAAGGGCGTTTGTTAAAAGGTCTAAGGGGCAAGAAACTATATAATAGAGGGGAAGAGCTTGTCTTTAGTTTCTCTGTTTGTAATTCGCGTGTTGAAGCTTCTGAGGCATTGTAATATTTTTCATTGCTAGGCAAGATTGATTTGACATATTGGCGATCAATGCGTACAATTGACAGATAGAGACACACAGGACTCAGGCTGTAAGCTCACTACATCGCCACTATGAACAATGAAGGAACAATTGCACTTATTCCTCATCCTAGTGATGATCCACGAGATCCATTGGTAGATTCTTCCCCCTTCTGATCAATAATCACGATGTTAACAATTACTAGAATTGGCCCATGAGGAAGAAAGTACCCATTGTCGCTGCCTTATGTCTCGCAACCTTCGCCGGTTGTGCGGGTGGCCTTGCTGGTCAATTGATCCCAGCACCACAAGCAAAATTGTATGGGGTTGAGGCCACAAAGATGGCTTATCAGGTACGTGAAGATTTCTAGGCGAGTGACGGAGATTCCAAGTGGTTGAAATTCAATTGACACAAACGAAATATAGACATCCTGTTCCAATGCTGGCATGATAGCAGGATCTTTGATCCTCTTTCCACTATCTCACAAATTCGGTCGCTCATCAGTAATCTTCTGGTCTACCGTTGGAGTATTCATCACCCAAGTATGGGCAGCATGCATGACACACTCCACGCAATACGCCCCATTCCTTGCTTCCAGGGTAATGGCTGGATTCTTTGGAGCCATAGCTGGTATACTCGGCCCTCGTACACTTTTCGATCTCTTCTTCTTGCACCAGAGAGGTCGTGTCTTTACTTACTTTTATTGGGCTTTCGATTTCGGCACGGTGGCTGGTCCAACGCTGTCGGCATTCATATCAACGGCTGGGAAGGGATCATGGACTTATGCTTTTTGGTGGACAGCGGCGCTGGCAGCTTTGGCAGCGATAATGGTATTTTTGTTCGTGTATGAGACTTCTTGGGATCGAGCGGAGGGGGCAGATAATTCATCGATCGCGACGCCCAATGGATTTATTGCGAGTAAGTTCGCGACGTTTCTCCCGGGGACGAAAGTCACAAAGCAGGCCAGTTTAAAACAGGTCTTCAGGGTTGCAGCCAATCCATTTTTAATCATGGCTAATCCGTCGATGATTTTGTTAGCAATGTCTACGCTGATCAGTTTTGGATTCTATGTTGCTATGAATGCAATAACTCCGGTTTGGTTACAGAAGGATGTGAAAGAAGGAGGTTACGGATTTAATTCTACGGAAAATGCTTTATGTATGTACCTCTCTACTTCGCAGTTCTCGAATGAAGAGTTATCTAATAATCACAAGTTTCATTCGGTCACTGGGCAGGAATAATAATAGCTTTGATCTACGGCCACTTTGTCAGTGACCGTCTCCCTCTCTGGATTTGTTCCCGAAATCGCGGTATCTGGAAGCCCGAATATCGTCTATACGCTCTCATTCTCCCTGCCTTAATTTTCAATCCAATTGGTCTTGGTCTCTTTGGGGCAACGCTCCAAAATCATTGGAGCTGGGGAGTCCTTATCTGGGCACAAATAATGGTGACATTCGGATCTTTATCTATCACCCCGATTACTGTAAACTATGCGTGTGAACTCTTCACGAAAGCTCCTGCTGAGACAGCTATTGTGATAAATAATTACAGAGTTGGTTTCGGATTGTCGGTGACATTCTATATTACGCCTTGGGTTGAGGAGTTAGGGTTTAGATGGACATATGGAATGATGGCATTCTTACAAGTAGCGAGCTTTGGGTTTGTGGTCATACTAATGTGGAAGGGACATGACATTAGGGAATGGAAAGTTGGAGGTTTGGGTAGTGATGAGGAGGGCCAATGTGTTATGGAAAAGGGAGAGAGTGTAAGTGAGCATAGCATGGGTAGCGAACATCATTATGTTGATGGTGAGAAAGGGACTCATCAGGTCTGATTGTACATAATATTGTTTAATCCGAGTGTCCAATAGTCCAGACTTTAGTTCAATACTAAAGATCTATCAAATTTTCAAATCAATTAGAATATTCAGGCCATTTGAGATATTGAATTTGATCAGAATATTAATCTCTATTCAGATTTCTAATTACTTTTGGACATTCAGACCCTTATAATTTTGTACTGCAGTCCGGACTATCGAATACCCTGCTCGGAGTCTTGAGTGCTTCAAAAGTTAACATCGTTTGAGAATAAAACTAGCGTTCCTTTATAAAGTACAAGTAAATGACACGAGAAGGATAACCACAAAAAGAAACAAAAAGGAACACCAGAAGCACCCGATCGTGCCACAAATGCATCACCTAACCCAAATCCACAAAATCTCTCCACCCCCTAATCCATTCCCAGCGATTCGGCAATCCCCACGATCTCTTCTGATTCGTGCTACTCTCACTCTCACTCGTACTTTCCGAAACCCCCACACTCCCATCCACATCCTCCACCACATCCTCCACTTCCCCCTTCACAGCCACACACTGCTCAACCGGAACTCTAATCCCCTTTGTCAAAAGTGCCGTTCCGGCCAGAGCCAACTCATCATTTCCTCTCGCGGCCGGAACCCGTCCTACATACGCATTAAAATTATAATTTCCACACGCGCACGTCTCTGTTACATTTCGGGGACTCGTTTCCTGGAGTACCACTTTCCCTTTTCTCCAGAGTCCGAAGATTTGGTTTTCGATTCCCATGGGGACGCTAAAGGCATTCACGCCTTGTACGGCGTTGAATTGGAAAGCGCCGCTGCCGGAGACGACGGTGATGTTGCCGGGAGATTTGAGAAAGGCGGTTACGAAGATGCTGTCGGTTTCGGTTTGCCAGCCGTGGGGTTTGCCGTTGAAGTAGTCGCCGGAGGAGTTGGATGCAGGGAGCATGGTTGTATCTGTGCCGCCGCAGTTGAGAGAGAGGGGATTGGGTCGGTACCAGTAGACTATGAGGTCGCGTTTGATATATTTGGAGGGGGTGGAGGCGCCGGCGTGGAAAGCACGGATAAATGGGGTAGCGAGGGTGAGCCATGCTCCATGAGGCCTGGACTTGTTAGCCATACATTTCAACAGAAAGTCAATTATGGTTGTGAAAGAAATCTTACATATCATTCGTCCATTTTGAATTTCCATCATCAGTATGTGGTGCAGAAAGCGGTCCCACATAATGACTTTCCCCTATTTCAAGTCAGTATTCCAATCCTTCAATCAACGCAAAGCAGCTCAACTAACCATAATCATTCCAACTCACAATCTCCACAAACCTGGCTCCCAGCCCCAACAAATCCTGCCACCTCTGAACCCACTGTCCCTCCGCCGGAAACACCCAATTCTTACTATACGACACCTCGGGTCCGTAATGCGTAAAGAACCACGGACTGACCGGCGCAATATAATCTTCGCCCGCCAACGCATTCATATACGCCACATCGCCATCACGCACTGTGAGATTCGAGGCGGAAGAAGGCGCTTTATTAGCACCATTATTCGGCCAACCCATCCAATTAAACGCCGCATCCAACTCCTTAAAATTAGACGATCCAGGGCTAAAATTCGGCGCGAAAAAGATCGGAACACCAGCTTTCGCACGCACATCTGCGACATTGAGTGCATCGCCTATGAAAGTCGAAACAAAGACTTCATCATCAACAGACAATTGAGCAGTCTGATTAGCGTATTTTGCTATTTTTGCCCCGACTGATGATGAATCTGCTGGGTCCCAGGAATTGAAATCGAAAGACAAAAAGACTTTCATGTGGTTTGTGGCTGCGGATGCATAGGCATAGTCGAGTTGCGTGTCTGTGAATGCGTCGGCGCCGATGTTCAGGGCAAATGCGTCGATTCCGGCACGACGAGCGAGTTGCATGTCTCTGTCATAGTCGGCGGAGCTGGCTCGGTTGCTTACGATGCCGACCTAGGGGTTTTGATTAGTTTTCATTTTTTTCGCTAGAGAAGAGCGTATACCATGAAGTGTGCAAAAACATAACGACTAGGAGAAGATTGATGATTTGAGTCCCTCGATGATGGGTCAGCGGTGGTGAGTTGGATAGAGTTAAGTAGTGTGAGAAGCCATGGAATGGTCTTCAGGAAGAAAGTGTTTGTCTGCATAGTGAGGTTCATTGACCGGTTTACTGTATAAGCTTGAGAATGAGAAACTGACACTATGTTCCGAAATGATGCAGCAGACTTGCCTTGAAAGATGCAATTACTATATTAACATCATGAAGCTTCATATTAATACATGGCGGGAAATAAAAACCTGGAATCACGAACAAAGGAACACACATGTGTGGCCTAGTAACTTGCCATCCCTTTGATTTCCGAAGAGAAATGAAATTTTTTAATTCTTTGTCTACTGTAGATAGCCTATATTCCTTTCAGAAAGATTGATCAATCAATCCCCAATCAAGCTAAATCACATAAATCGTGCAGATTATTTTGGCTTTCCTCTAGCACACATGTCATTTGAAGCTGCTAGACCCTCCAAAGAGATTATGGTGTGCTCGTCAATATAACCTTGAGAACTAAACTTGTATCATACATTTAACTTGCGATACGCCTCCTCCTCTCACTCCACTCATCAACAGCGAATCTCAAACCCATGATATTGATAGCCAGTAAAGTCACATTATGAAAGCCATAATCAAGTCCACTTTCTTAACAGGTTTGATTAAATATATGCCGCAAGCACAGGAATTGCAAGGACAAGATTGATAAAATTGATGATACAAGTAGCACCTGGGGGTACGAAAATCTGATAGTCTAGCATTAACTTCTTATGAGAGAGTCTTGGCCGCTCAAGAATGCGTATGGGTAATTGTCCCTGATACAGCGAGGAGAAAATTGAGAATAATAAAAAGAGGCAGTGCAGGTTATTAAGACGCAGCTGTGAGAGCAATGCAACCGGTAAATAACCCATCTAGCATTTTTGATTGTCCACCCGGCATTGAAGCCTTTATATCTATGTAATATCCCTAGCAGAAATGCTTATATCCCGATCTTCTCGAATACAAATGCGAATTTCTTCTCCTCACACTTCACTTGAAACTCTTCTTTGACTCCCGGTCCACAAGCCGCCGATCCAACACCAGCAGACTCAGCATCCAACCTCCACAATACTTCTTTTTCCTTCACTAGGTCCCTTGGATGTCTCGCTTTTTGCAATGTACTTGGAGAATATCTTGTAGCTGCCCATTGAAACGTGGGGCTTTCAGATGAACTTGCTCTAATTCCCACTCCGGAGGAATCTGTCATATTTACCCATCTAGTCTTCATACGGTTACCATCTTCTTGCGGTACGTCGTAAGGAGTATGTAACGCATCCACATCAGCAGAATATATACCGAGCTTCTGTGAAGAGCATTTATCCGCGTACGATTCTCCTGGTCCAATACCGAACCATTCTGCATTATCGAAATCATCGCGAAGTTTAATGTCCAAGCCAACTCTAGGCAAGTTTGATGGCATTGATCCAGTAGGTTTGAGGTTGACTTTGATTGTCAAAGAGCCAGTTGCTGAGATCTGATATGTGGTAGTAGCCTCGAAGCCCCAGTTCAATATTGGAGGTGAAATGAATGTTACAGCGGTGAGAGTAACTAGATCGTCGTCGGTCTTCACATCGAAAGATCGAAGCTGCGACGTCAATGCATCTAAACCATATCGTTTATAATAGGGAAGATCAGAAGGCATATCATTGTCTGTCGGAGCTCTCCAGAAGCCCGGTGTAATTGATGAGATGAGTATCTCGGTTGACTTCAAGGTCGCTGGACTACTAAAATTCCATTGAGACAAACTACCCCGAGCAGCATCAAATGCAAATAGAAAGTTTGAGCCTGTAATTCTGTACTCCGTCCTAGATGAGACAACGTCGAGATGAGAAGTGTTTGTAGGGGAAATTCGGGAGATCGAATCTGCATTAGGCTTCGAAATCTGCTCTTGCATCCATGCAAGCTCATGACCAGCATCAGCCCAAGCAGTCGAAAACTTTTGTTGAAAGGTGACTGTAATCCATAGCTCGCCCGATCCATTTCTAGAAGGAGTAGATGGTAATTCTATTGAAGAGGACTTTCCTGGGAGAATGTTTGGAAGTGCCAAATCACCAGATTTTACAATCTTCCGGCTTCAAAAAGTTAGCAAATCTGATTTCTTAAGTGTGATAAATGTCTACAAACCTTTTTTCGAACGACTCAATCTTATACGAAGCAACAACATGATCAAGCCCTATGAAATCATAACCATTTGCAATCACGATTTTACCCTCCTCGACCCAAGCACGAATTGGAGCGATGACCTTTTTGAGTTCTGTCAAACCAGGTGTAGGGGTGTGATCGCTGTAGCACAAGCCATCCATGACAAAGGTATCATCATTCGGGACATCACCAAAATCACCTCCGTAAGCATAAAAGCCCTCTTTTCCTGGCTCTGTCTTCCACAGTCCGTGATTCGCCCATTCCCAAATCCAACCGCCTTGAAGTCTTTCGTAATCTCTAAATGCAGCCTGATAATCTTCTAAACCCCCAGGTCCATTTCCCATGGCATGGCCATATTCGCAAAGCACAACGGGCTTGTCATAGGAGCCATCAGAAACACCAGTAGTCTCCGCGTGCTTGACAAGAACATCGATGGGTGGATACATGTAAGAAAACATGTCTGCAGACTTTGCATCAGCATCACCCTCATAATGGACCAATCTGCTAGGGTCCACCTCCTTTGCGTAGTCATACATTGCCTTGTGATTCTTCCCATAGAATGCTTCATTTCCTAAAGACCACAAGATAATCGAAGGATGGTTCTTATCTCGGTTCACAAGCTGGGTCATTCGGTCGATATATGCGTCGCGCCAGGTTTCGTTATCAGAGGTAAATTTGGCGGCTTGTGGAAAGGTCAATTTCTTACGTTCTTCGTAAGGTATCGATTCTGGGATATTGGCAGGATATGCTACGGCATCATAAAATCCGTGACACTCTAAATCTGCTTCATCCATCACCCATAGACCAAGCTCATCACACAGATCATATATTCCCGGATGTGATGGGTAATGTGAGCAGCGTAGTGCATTGATATTATGTTGCTTCATCAACAGTAAGTCCTGTTTGATAAGGGATAATGGCACTGCACGTCCGAGATGTGGATGATGGTCATGACGATTTGCGCCATTGAAGAGAATGGCTTTGCCATTGACAGTTATAAGACCATTTTTGAGCTCGACGCAACGGAAACCGACGTTTTGGCAAATGGTCTGAGTAACCTTGTTGTTCACATGAATTGAAATCTCAAGCTGATATAAATAGGGTGTCTCGGCAGTCCATTTCTGAGGTTGTGAAACCGACAAGCTCAATGAGAGTTTCTCCCCGTCAGACTCAAAAGATTCGGAACCACTCGGTATGACTTCTTCGCCATTTGAAGTATCACGTAGCGTCAATTTTACCTCTCCAGAAGATGATGCAACCAAATCCAGGGCAACTTCCAGAGTCGCGTCATGGTATTTTTCGTCGAGCTTGGGTGTAACGAAAAAGTCGTCGATTCGACCCGTTGTAGGAAATGATAAAAGATTCACATCTCTGAATATTCCTGGAACAAAATTGTTAGTCTACATTCCTCAGTTTTATTGCCCCTCCCATAGAATTCAAACTTACCAGAAAGCCACCATTGATCTTGATCCTCGATATATGACCCATCACACCATTGGTAAACACGAACCCAGACTTCGTTTGCGCTTCCCCGGCTCACACATGTCGAAACATCAAATTCCGCCGCATTTCTGGATCCTTGCGAATACCCAACGAATTGGCCATTGACCCAGACGTGAAACGCGCTATCTACACCATCAAATCTCAATCGCAGTTGGGAGGACTTTTCCCACGACTTTGGAACGTGGAACAATCTGCGATAAGTTCCTGTAGGGTTTTCGGTCGGGACATGTGGAGGGCAGACGGGAAATGGGAATATTGTATTTGTATATTGAGGTCGACCATGCCCCGGAACTGTTATATTTCCCCATTCCACCTCATCATCTGGTATAGTCTCAATTTGTTTATCTGCAGTTGGTGGCACGTTCACATAACCTTCCTTAGTGCCCAACTCTGAGGTTGGTGTATTTGATTGAACTGGAAGTGGTGCATGTTTGGGTGTTGGGGCATAATGAAAGTCCCATGTGCCATTCAAGAGGAGAGAGGAAGGTGGGATATAGTAGGATCTCGCTGGAAGTCGATTTCGTTGGAAGATCTTCTCGTCGCAGGTGTCCAAGTCGGAAGCCATGATGGCAGTGAGCTGTGAAGAATTTTACAAACCTCGAGAAGTGAATGTTATGTATGAGAAAGAATGTATTGGTCTGTCCATGGCATATATTATACTACCATGGCATTGATGTCAAGGCTATAGTTGGCATCGAGTGCACCACTCGTGGGCGTGCCAGAAGACCCCCTCATTGCATAGAGAGCACCAAAATACGTCGATTGACAGGTGACGGATATCGGCCTCGGGGATATATGCTCCGACAAATTGTAATGCCATCAGGAGTCGTGAATTTGGTTGGATGAATTGAGGGCGGATGAGGGGTAGATTGAGTGAAGTTTGGGGAATTATTTAGTGCGGGGAACGCGGAGCCGAAACCCCTGTAACGGTTAGACACACTAGTGATTTGCTCTGCCATTCTCGATGTTCTTCCCAGAATAGGAAGTCACTTGAATTGCCCTTGTTGATTTCTACCCTACATCTCCCTGTTCCTCCAAACAAGTTTTATCATCATTATAACGGCATATATCCAGTGTGTAAGGAACATTGCTCAAATCCTTATCTACCTATTTGATTATTCAATTAAAACATAACCTCCCCCCCTTCCTATATCGACACTGACCTATATCTTCATTTTGGGCAAACGGCTAACGTGGTTTAACAGTGGCTCGGCCATATCAGTGAGTCGGCCACCATTTTTACATACAAAATACGTCTGTGCATAACCGTGCACTTTCTTTATTTATTGATATAATTTTCTAAAAATCTAATATTGGATATTTAATTATATAAATATTATAAAAGTCTAATTTTTTATTAGAAATTCGAATTATTAAAGCACTTATTAAAGGGATAACTTTTTTGTAACAAGAATTGTGACAATTTCCACTTTTTTTTACAATATAATAAAAATATTTATATAAAAACTAGATTTTTAAAAAAATTAAATTTTTATTATTATTTAATATTCTTTTCTTTTTCAAAAATAACGATTAATAATTAAAATATGAATATTGAAAAAGGCTGGTTTTATATGTATTTTGAAGTGGCCGATCCACTGATATGACCGAGCCACTGTTAAACCACGTTAAGCCCATCCAATCTATTATGATGGTCACTTTCAGTTGTTTGTGTACCTGGTATAAAGGCGCACTCACACACTCGATCTTTGAGCATACGAGTTCATGCCAGTCAGTATTCAATGGATCCATTGTTTCTACAGCATGAAGGTATATCAACTTGCTCGGCACTTCATGAAAGAGAGAGACTTGAAGCGGTCACAAGTCTAGAAAGTTTTAAGAGCTATAACCGCTAATTCATAATTCTTTTCTTAATGAAGAACACATTTAACGATAAATACCGACTCCTCACACAAGACAGACTTATCCTCAAGAATGTCTTGGACGATACGAAAAACACATACGAATCATCTCTTAGGAACCACATAGAGTTCACGAGATATATACTGACAAATTGATATTAAAGGCCAGCAACCATGAATGCAACCAACTCACCCGCACAAAATATCTCCTCCTCCTCCTCTTATTCGAATTCCACCGACGTTCTGAAATACGGTTTGTCCATAGAAATAGAACGAAAGTTCCCAGCATGGGGAATCGGACCACTCTGTGGCTTTGTTGGAATCTACATTTCGTGTCTTTTCTGGTGTGTGGGTTGGGAGGCCTACCGTACAAGACCTAGTTCTTATGGAACAAATCAGGGAGATGAAGAGAATGGGGGAGGTGCGGAGGGAATTGAAGGATGAGGGGAAGGAGCAGGGAGGGGAAGCACTCGAGGAGTTGGTGAGAAAGATCAAGTGATCGGGACGTTTAATGCACATGCGAGGGATGGTTATCATAGACAGGAGATGGTGACAATCAATGCAATTGTGGTTGATAAGGGACCCTCCAAGATGAAGATGAGTGAGCTTAGGCCTTTGGAGGGGTGAGGGAGATGGGAGATGAATATAAGGAACAGGAAATGGGAAATGGGAGAGAGAAGATGGAATATAATGAACAGGAAATAGAATATGGGAGATGGAAGATGGAATATGGAATATGTTATTGTATTATATTTGATATACACATCAATAGTTTCACTACCTATCTATCTAATAGTATAAGAATAATAAGAGGGAAAATGATTGAAGCACCTCCCCAACCCAGGCCAGACCAGCCTCACGAATAACATTTCATCCCTGGTGGTTTATTCGCAAAGGAAGCTCAACTCGATGAGATTGTATTCTATTCAAGGTGCAGCTTGCAACCAGTTGAATACCTTCCTCACTACTCGAGTACATTTCTTCAATTCAATGAAAGGGGATGGGTGGATGAAGCAACGAATTTGAGGAAAGGTATGAAGAACAAGAATAGTCTGCACAGAATACCTACTTGTGTATTGATTGATTGATCAATTGCTTGCTTGCTTACTTGCTTTGTTGATTCTTGCAGCCTTTGATCCATTTCCTCTCAGTATTCTCAAATCCCGCACTTGGCCAGTACACGCACGAATGAGCTTATCGAAGATCTCAACCTCTTCCCCTTTGTTACGACGTCTATATATGAAGACAACATGTAGAAGTTTGTCTGTCTGCGAAGAATTGTTCGCTTTGGATCTCTCCTACCAATTACCAAGGAAGAGAGAAGAAGATCCAAAAGAACAAATCACAATTAGCCCGTCTCGGTCGTCCGCCCACCAAGCCAAGCCACCCACGGGTTCATCTCACAGACCAATTTTTCTATTGATCCATCTATCCATCTATTCATCCATCCATCTTCAATTCTCACAGTTCATTGGTTTACATACCCCTGGTATATCTCCGCATAATGTTTACCTTTTATTATATCATTCCATTTAGCCCAATCTCTCAAATCTCTCGAGTCACCCGAGTCTCCATATCTTTTCCTTCCCCGGAGAGTTCAGTCTAGGATTTGATTCAGATTCCCTTTTTTTCCTTCCACGTCTTCATAAGGTCTTATATTGACTCGGGGCTCGGGAACGGATTACCCAATATAAACATTCGAGTCAATCCAGATGCGAAAAGCATAGAGAGTAACATGTCTTTTCAATAGGTAGGTCAAAGTATTTACCAGGGGGTTATTCATCGCTCGCCTTGCACAGCAGGGAGAAGCTGTCCATGTTGATTGATATCAGACCAGTATATACTATCGAATGGTATGACTTGGCTCAACATAATCGCTCAACCGTTCACGTCTTGCCCTTCCGTGTCTGCTTGTTTGTCTCGGGAAGTTGGAGAAGACTAATTGAGGGGCGCGGTTGTACAAATCGATTGTTGGGTGTGCCACACCTTTTTTTCTTTCTTTTTTTCATCGTTGCATATCGGTCCTCAAACTTCACAAATGCATAGACGATTCCAATTCTTCAAGAGAATAGGAGAATATATATACGCCAAACCCAATTGAAGAGGAAACATACTATTAAAAGAAAGGGGATAACGGTAAGATGGATTGGAATTAAAAAGAGACGCGGGAGAGATTATATTTATATTTCAGTCTGTGCGGAATTTCTTCTTTCGACTAGAAGACAATTGGGTTTTCGGAGGTTAGTTGAAAGAAGGATATGCGAATGGGATCGAATTGTTTTAAATCAATTGGATCCAAGGTTTGGCGCAATTGGGAAAAGGAAAGAAAGGAGAAAGGATATAAGAGAATTCGTGAGTGAATGCGGAGGAAGGTAGGAGGGTTGGAGGAATACACACATCCAACACATACAATACATACACGAACAAACAAACAAATGAACGAGCGAGCGAATGAATGAAGGAACGAACGAACAGACATTGAACGGACATTGAACGCTCAGTTAAGAACAGATATCTGCGACAATCGATTTGATTTCGAGCGACGGTTTCAATTCTACTTCTACCATACCTCAAACACCTTCTCAAACAACTTGTCCTTCCGCTCTCGCTCTTAAATAAACCCTACCAATTGATCAATCTTCAATCTTTTTCCCTCTTACCCCATCTTCGCAGATACCTCACTATACCATACCACACAACCGACCATGGCAGCAACCTCTTATGACTCCAATCGCATAACCATAACCATCCTTGGCGACGGTGGCGTGGGCAAATCCGCTTTAACCCTCCGCCTCGTAAAATCTCAATGGACATCTGACTACGACCCTACCATTGAAGATTCTTATACTCTCACTCGGCGCATCGATGGTCAAACATATCATCTCTCCATAACCGACACCGCAGGCCAAGAAGAATATCGTGGGATGTGGCAGAGTGCTAATGGGAGTATGAGAAGTGATGCTTTCTTATTGGTATATGATATTACGCGACGCGAAAGTTTGGATGCGCTGGATTGGTTCGACGAATTAGTTACCATGGAGGGAGAAGTTCGGGGCGAAGAATGGAGAAGAGCGCAGGCGGAATCTTCTCCTTTGAAATCTCGTTCAAAAACAAAGAAATTCCAGAGCTCAAATGCAAAATCAATAGAAGGGGGAAGAATGGATTTTGGATATACACCTCCGATTAAAATCATTGCGGGAAATAAATGCGATCTGCAAGAATCGCGCGAGGTGACGGCTTCGCAGGGTTTAGATTGGGCTAGAGCAAGAAATTGTGGGTTTATGGAAACAAGCGCGAGGAGTATTGTTAATATTGAGGAGACTTTTGCGTTGATTGTTAGACGGGTTGTAGAGGCAAGGAAGAAAGCACTGATGGATAGGGAATTGATGGATAGAGGGGAATTTGGGGATGAGATATCGGGAGTGCGTATGGATGGGGTAGAAGGGGATGAAATGAATGGGGCAGGAGAGAAGTTGGGGACTAGGAGGGCGATGACGAGACCATTGACGCCTTTACCACCAGGAACTCCAAATGAAGAGTTTGAAAAAAGAGGGAATAGGAATGGGAGAGGAATTAGCAGGGGGAGATTGAGGGAGATAGGAAGGAAGTTCGCCTGTTGGAAATAAATCGATGGAATGGATGGAATGAGGTGGTTAGAGATAATACTGATTGAGAAAGAAGGAATGAGATGAGATGGACGACACAAGACGAGAACTTACGACATATATTAATGACATCACAACTTATGAGTAGTGATTTTGCTTAGTTGATTTACTGGATATCCATTTGTATTTTGTATTTGGGAGGGAAAGGAAAGGGAAGGGATAAGCATAGGGATAGGGATAGCATGGAGGAAGGTTACGCTTGGACGGGATGGATACGGAATGGTTGGATTTGTCAATTTAGGCCAGTTAAATGCCAATCAATGTCAAGGAGCTAGATGAGCTGTACGGAATGGAATGGAACAAAAATCATTACCGCAGTGCTATCTATCCATTGCCAAAAAGAAAAGACGCAGGGGGAAAAAAGGAATAGCATATACCATATACCATATACCATAGGATAGGAAAGCATCTAGTGAGGAGCTTGGGAGCTTTTTATTTATATTTCTCTCTAGCGATCGAATCCTTGAATCGGTTGAAAGGGTCTTGAATGATGTGTATATCCACCAGTCTAGTACCGTCTGTAAGATGTTACTTAGGTTGGGTAGATACGTATGAAATGTGAGATGTGTGAATACCTCTCGTCTCGTCGAAGAATGGTAATGTTGTAACATGCTGCTTGCGATGTGAGTAACTATGTGTGTAATAGTAGTAAAATAGATTGAGATTGAGATTGAGATTAAGATTGAGATATATTGGAGATTTAGGTGGAGTGAAGAGGAGATAGAGGGATGGGGAGAAGAGGAGAAGATATAGTATGGATGAATGAATGAATGAATGAATGGATACATGTATATGTGTATATGTGTATATGTATAAATATAGTATGAATGAATGAATGAATGGATGGATGGATATATGTATATATGTATATATGTATGTATGTATGTATGTATGTATGTATGTATGTATGTTGTATGTATGTATGTATGTATGAATGAATGAGTAAATAAATAGATGGATGGAGCGCTAGAGGGCTCTAGAACCTTTGGATAATTTTCAATTATTATTCTATCTAGTATTCAAACTCTAAATTCTTAAAACTATAATGGTACAATTGGATTATTGGAGGGCTTTCCAGTGGTCAATTCCGGTTTATTAATTCTCCTACGAATGAGTAGGCGGGGCGTGAGGGAAGTAGATGCGATGCGATGATATGAAGTAGGGAGGTAATAAAGTAGAATGACAGAAGGAATAAGTTGAATTGAACCCCTCCCCCCGTTCCATAAATCTCTATCTGTTGTAACTTATCATAAATCATTGTATGTTGTGTCTTATGCTCTCCATATTCCATTTCCGCACACTTTTACCACCCGCTAAATCGATGATATTGAGATTCCTTCCTTTCTTATCCCTATCTCCAGTATCTAGAAGGTAATCTCAACCCCCTCTAATTCCTCGCCTCAGTATTCTTATCCAGCTTCTCTACCCAAGTCCTCCACTCATTATATTCCTTCCAACTAACACTCTCTTTTCTTCCCTGATACCTAACAACACTCAACTGGCTCACTTCCCTCCACTTCTCTCTTCTTCCTCCCCAACCCGCCTTCCTCATTGCACTCACAACCGTTTCTTCCTTTCCCCACTCCTGCTCCACCGCCACATCGGGTAAATAACATGCTCCAAACCTCTTGTTCTTGTGATAAAAACTAATCCTAATTCCATGAACTCCAATCTCCCAATCCAGCGGATGAGCACACTCTTCGAAATCCGTCAGTAAAGTAACGGCAACCTCGAGACTTGGGAGTTCCCGCAGCGTAATGGGATCGAAGCGAGAATCGTGCAGAGCGGAAATTATTGCATATTCGGGTAGAGAGGTGAGGAGGGGTTCCGAGGAGAAAGTACCGATGCAGCCGCGTAGAGAGTGAGATTGTTGATGCGGTTGTGAGGAGGAGGAAAGAGTATTCCAGGTTACGAAGAGGGGGGTGGACCATTCGCGGAGATTGCGGGGAGGAGAGAGTTGGGTTGTTTGACGGGGAGTAGGGGAGATACCGATGGGGGTGAATGAGGTGGTGGAACTAGAGGGTGTCGTTGCAGATGTGGAATTCGAGATTGATGTTCGTTCGGAGGAGGAAGTAGAAGATGGTGTACTAGTTCCGGAAGCAGATCGTGTAATTCGTTGGAGGATAGGATGTCGTGCTGAATTTGTGGTTGAATTGGGATCGGGTCTCGGATTTGATTTTGGTGGATGGGTGCCAGTTATGTGAAGATCAACATCTTCTTCTTCATCTTCTTCGGCGTTTTGTAATTCGAGACCTTTAGGATAAGATGTCCATAATTCTTGAACCTTTTCCAACCCTAATGGTTGTCGTTTTTCCAGATGAGCAGTTAAAACTTCGAAACAATAGAGACAATGATCTGGGGTTGCCATAATTGTGGGTGTTATTGGTGTTATTGGTGTAGATGGATTGGTAGATGAATTTGGGGTGGTGTTGAGGATTAGATTTGGATGGAGTTGTAGTTGTCGACCTGATGGTGAGAGATGGAGATGCGAATATAGATCCGAGTGATTGTATGAATATTGGTAATCGTATTTGAATTTGAATTTGTATTCATGTAATAAGTTGATTCTATTGTACTTGACAGACTTTGGGATGAGAGTCAGTTGTTGTTGTTGTTGTTGTTGTAATGAGGTTCTTGAGGTCCTTGAGGTTCTTGAGGTTATTGATGTTATTGATGTTATTAAGATACGGTATCTAAGTGGAAGTGAAGTCTGATAGGAAGGATGTTGTGAGTGAAGATGAATGTCAGGACCGGTCGAAGGAGCTTGGGGGTTGTGGGACTTCATAGCGGGGGGTTATCGATAAGCTTTGGTCTTTGATTTGTGGAAATCGATGATGAACCTTGGAATGTTTCAGGTACTACTTGCTTGTGATTTGCATAAATCGAGATTCGAGTGGATAATTTGTGATTGTGAATTGTGCATTACCGTATATCACTTCCGGATTCGGATTCGAAGAGGTTGCATCATTCTAGCCCGAGATCTCCGGTTTGCTCGGCTCATTAGGTTCCGTTGGTTGGTCGGTTGGTCGGTCGGTCGGAATACCATACAGCATGAGATGAGTAAATTGAATACTCAGTAGATGCTTTCTTTTTATGGCTTCACATCAATGATGATTAGATTTCATTTCCATCGTATAGAATGAAGCTGGAGTGATTTGGATTGACCAGCGACGTGGATGTTGAGACTATGGCGATGACTTCTTTGGTATTGGGTTGAAAGGTATTCTTTCTTATATGTCATCATTTCAAAGTACAAACTACAAAGGACAAATATCCCGAGACACTCAGGTACCCAGTATCTAGTCAGTGTTAGCCCATCCAACGCCATGTTCTTTGATACCAAGGCTAAAACAGATCCCAAGTCAAATACTCAATGGCTATTTACAAATCAAAAGCAATAATCAATATACTTACTTATCAACATCAGGTACCTGTCTAAGAAGCTTGTCGTCAATCATTTCCCAGACCACCCAGCCTCAAACAAGACCTTTACCCCTGAAATTTATAAACAAAAACAAAAAAAAACCTTAATCCTCCACAACATCTTCGCTATACAGCCTTCAAAAGTCCATCTGTTCGGATCTCAAGATTTCCGTCTTTCCAAAACCTTCTACTCATAAAAGATCCTTACTACATCGGATCATTGTTTTCGAAGCTTCATGGGTAATGTTGGGATGACAGCCTTCTTTGCATCTCGCTTCACTTCATCCATGTTTCATCACCCTTTTTCCTTTAAACCTTACACCACATCAATCCAGTTTTTCTCTACTGTTACCCCAACTCTCCAGCAAATCTGAGGAATGTCCACGAGATTAAATGATACTCTACACAAGATAAGCCTTGTCCATACATTCGATGTATCATAACCATGTGATTGTCATCCAATTTTCAATGCAATGAACCCTGGTTTCTGCTCGAATTATGATCTCTGCGAATCAAGCAAAGCGATAAATTCGAATAGACATGGGGTTGGCATGTTGATAGGTGCCTCTCTGAAATCATCTCTTAATATTGGATGAATTCTGTGATGATGGTTTTGGGAAGCGAGAGGCGCAGGTTTGAGTCTGGATCCTCGTTTTGAGTTCGTGGGATATTGATATTAAATGAAGAAAAGATATAAAGACGAGGATCTTGAAGTATGGGGAACTCGTTTTATCATCAATCTTCATCTCGTTATCCTTCAATCTCTTCATCTATCAATCATTGCTTAATTTCTTGTGTATACTGAATCACTTGTTGCCGGTCGACTTCATCAAATCATCACCATCATTAAATAGTCTTCTGCATTTTTCATCGCTCAATACCTAAATAAACATACCCACCAGCAATCATGCAGTTCACAATTGTCACTATTCTCTCTTTCGTCGCCATTGCGATTGCCACACGTATGTTATGCTAATTTTTCACCCGACGTCCTACCTTCATCATCCACAGACACTTTTCCGTTCCCCGTATCAACGGAGTAATATAACTTTCCCCTGCTAATAAAAACACAGCTGTTCAACTCGCATCACGCGCAGTGGATGCATCGACTGCCTCAATGAGTGACGCCCAGGGAAATGTCGTTAGCTTCGACTCTGCTGGTGTCAACCAAGGTACGCTACAGGATTTCCTCTTCTCTTTTCCCAATAATATGACTATCTTTTTCCCTTGGTCTTTACCTTTTCAGTCCCTAAGAACTTCTCGGGTGTACTAACACGTTTAAAACTACTTAGCCGCCAAGAACTCTGGCATGTAAATCAACTTCTTTTCTGGATGCCACAGCTTTCATCCTCATATGGAAGAACGGAGTTTGAATTCAGGAACCATCGGAGGCGATTAGTAATGAAGCGGACATGGTCGAGAGATCGTGGTGTGTTGTTTACTTATTGTCAGCATGGCCTTGGGAAAAAGTGTACGGCGTAGATGTTATTTCATTAGTGTTGCCTTTGACGGTGGTTGTCCATTGAATTGGGTTGGATTGGTGTCGTCGGAGTAGGATAGGATGGGAGTAGATCATACTGATGATCAAATTTGCACTGTAGCACCGTCTTTCCAATTGCATACCATTATCCGCAACTGCTTTTGTAATTTAGCACCACACATATCTCTCTTGCAGGAAGAATGACAAATACATGCCTCATTCATCGAGGATTGTTCTGACTCTTACCTTCATCGGCTGTAATTTTGCTGATGGTGATTGTACCGCGACGACAACATCTCAATCATTCCTTTCCAAATTTCCAATTTCCAATCCAAACTCAGACATTCACAACATTTTTGTCGGAAGATAAGCAGAACCTTATTTGTAATTTCCACCTGGTGATCGTCCAATCTGATAAGCGAAGTCTCCTATCACGGACAATCACAAATGTGGAGAAAGGTTCCACTAAAACTTGCGCCTTTTCAATAGACATGTGCTTAAAAGATGTTCTTGTTTTTCATCACATAGATTTCATTTTCATTCCCTGGTGCTTTTCAAACTGAGTACAGGACTACTGCTCGAATTAAAGCAAACCTCTTCATCTAACCAGCCAATCCCGTCTCTATTTATCAAGCAACTATGGCTGACTCAACTTCACAAACCCTCCGTCCAAATCTACCCGAGACCCTCCGTATTCTACGTCTTGATCCAATCCATACACCCTCACCCGATTTCTCATCGCTCCCAATCCCTTATACCGTCACCGAGCTACCCAATCCTCCTCCAAAGGGTGACGAACTAATAACATATCTCAAACCCGCCCACGTCTTAATCTCTACCCGGTTCTTCCTCACCTCATCCATTTTATCTCAACTACCGAATTTGAAGCATGTAGCTATTCTCGCCATCGGAACAGATCATATCGATATCGCTTATTGTAAAGAACATGGAATTTCGGTATCGAATGTCCCGGCGGCAAGTAATGAGGCGGTGTCAGAACATGGATTGACGTTGTATATGGCACTACGAAGAAATGTAGTGGGGATGCATGAAAGGACTAGAGAGGGAAAGGAATGGAAGGAGAAGGGAAGTTTGAGTGAGCACTTTTATGGGGGTTTGATGACAGGATTTAAAGGGGAAGTGGTGGGAGTTGTAGGGGGTGGGGAGTTAGGTAAGATTGCAGTTTAGTTTTTCTTACGGTTATTTTTGAGGGTCGAGTCGAAGGAGTCATTGAGACGTAGTTCGTTTCATGCTTCTCTTATGATATTCTATCGGTAGGCGGTATTGTCTAGGTGATGTCGTCAAAATTGACCAGATCATGTGATATGGGCGTCTCTAGAGCTTTCATCTCCTTTTCAACCCAAAATAGTCAGTAGTCTGAACGTCGATTTATGTATAAGAACCAGAAAACTCAATAGTCCGGACTACAGCCCGGACTTTTGGAACTGATGAAGACCGAGTGCTCAAATGGGCTTCCGGGATTGAAGCTTCTGGTTCTTTCACTTTCAGACTGGGCCATTAAAAACTATGCCTGCAATTCCACAACACCAATCACACGAACCATAAATACTAACAAACCATAGGAAACCGAATAGCAAACCTTTGTCGAGCCTTAGGAATGACAGTCCAATTCTGCGAGCGAAAAGGTGTTACCGAATCCGAAACCCGTCCAAATTATACCCCATTTACTACCGTCTTGAAAACCAGTACCGTCCTCTTCCTTTCTCTTCCCTTGACACCCACTACCGAAAATATGACTGCCTCGGCGGAATTATCAATAATGAGACCAGATGCTCTCATCATCAATATCGCACGAGGAGGAATAGTCAATGAAGAGGATTTGGTAGATGCATTGAAGCAAGGCAAAGTTGCAGGAGCCGCAACAGATGTTTATGTAGAAGAACCAGCCGGAGAAAATAATACGTTAGTGAAAGCAGCCAGGGATAGCGAATTGCGGGATAGTGGAAGATTAATTTTGAGTCCGCATGTTGCTTGGTATGGAAAAAGTAGTGTGGAGAAATTGAGGAGGGTTGTCATAGAGAATATTAAAGGGTGGTGTGAGGGTGTTGGCGGGAATGTTGTTGGTTGATTATTGGAGAGATAAAGGGAACGGTGTAGAAATCGGTGACTGAGGCTACATCTGGTGTGGTATTGGTGCTCCCCAGACAGTCGCATATCAAAGATTCTCATCAAGTCAATGCTATTCATAGTGTCAATCGTCATTCTTCCGATCGCCAATACTTGATTGAATTCACATGCTGAGATGTCTTTTGATCTTACTGTCTCCGTTTCGTAGATTCACAATGGAGACAACCGAAGAAATGATCACAAGATGGTCTTCAATTTTACGTCTAGCAATATTTACTATAAACTAGACTTTCCGCTGTTTCTTGCATCTCAATCTATATCTATTTACAAATCATTCTAACCGCTGTAAGATGACTCTGAGATATTCATCAGATCATCAATCCTGGTGCATATTCCCAATCCGCACTATCTACCAATTCCACTTCTCAACTACAGGGCTATCATCCAACGCCCACCATTTCCATTTTTCCAAAAGCGCAATTTCTCCTTCTGTAACGGCAAACCAGGAATTTTTTCTACACCATGCGTTGAACAGCTCGGGGGTTCTCCATTCGTAATCGAGGGAGTTGTCGCATTTGTAGATTGTATCGACGAGGAAGAGGTGCCAGGGACGGCCGGCGATGGTGGTTTTTGGAGTGAATGTGGATGGGGATGGGGGTGGAGGTGGAGGAGATGTGGGAATTGCCCGGGTTATATCAGGCGTCGAAGGCGTGGATGAGGTTGAAGGTGGCAACACACCAGTCGACATGTCTTCCTCTTCATCCTCAGTAGCATCTCCAAATGCAAATTCAGAACGAACCCAGGGAGTTGCCGGTCGTACAATAGGTGTTGATGCACCTGAAGAGGTTGAGGGAGTCAAGATACCGGATGCCAATTCCTCCTCTTCATCTTCATCATCATCATCTCCTACCTCCCTCTCATTCTCCACTTCAGCAATTTCCGCATCTTCAAAAATTCCCTTCAACTTTCTTTCTAATTCCTCCATTTGCCCAACCATTTCCGGCATGCTAGATTCAGATCTCAAGAATAATTTCTCCACATATTGTTCGGTTTCTACGATGAGTCGCAGTGCTTTATGTCTCTTTTCTGATTTCAGTTCTCGCGTAACTGAGTCGATCATGCAACGGATTCTGGATCTGAGAGTGCTTGGAAGGCGAACGATGGTTGTTGGCCCGAATTGAGCACATGGAAGTGGAGTAAGATAATATGGTGCAGAAATTCTCTCTTCCGCGACAGTATATTTATTGAGATGGTTATGGGGTCCTTTCTCAGTGTCGAAGCTCATAAAATCGAGGAAGCGACGCGCTCTTGCTTGGGACAGGGAAGATTGATTATTGGAATGTCTAAGAGCGGAAGAATATTTATTTTCCTTCTTGTCTGCTTCGCTCTCGGGTTTTTGTGTTTCCTTTGGTTTCCCAATTATTCGCTTGTATGAGTCGGTTTCATCCGATTCTTCGAAGATATTGTATTCAATTCCGTCTCGTAGTGAGAATAAACGATTGATGATTACGGAGATTGGTTCAGGATAGTTTGCAGAGTGAGCTTTTTCTTCCTTTTCCTCTTCCTTCTCAGTAGCATTGTTTTTCTTCTCCCCCAATGGCCTCAGGATACGCTCCAATGTTATGTCTATATACATTTCACCAAAATTGTGAGCAGCACCAATTAAAAACCAGCATGGTTCAAAAGCGAGAGTGATTGCGAGGAGCTTCAATTTTCCTCTCGTGCCCAGACCTGAAATCGCAAGTAATTTGCGCGAAATGTGATAGAAGAAATAGTAGATGAGGAAGTCAAGATCTACACCCGTTAACAAAATGAGCGATAAGAGAATTTTCGCAGTGTTCTTCCAAGGATGGGGCTGAGATGTGGCGGGTTTGAAGTTGGAAGTAGGGTAGAATGAGGATATTTTTGCAATCATCATTGACATGGAGAGATATAGTGTGAATATGGTGACTGCTAGTGACAGCAATGCTAGGTGCCAGGATGATGTTTGGAGTGAAGATATACATTGATGGACTTGGGGAGAAGTCATGTTGGCGGGATTCGCCATTGTTATCTCTGGTTTATGTAAAGGTTTGTGTAAAGGTATGTGTGAAGGTATATATGAAGGTATGTATGAAGGTATGCTTGATGTTGGTATAAATAGGAAGAGATGATTTTTTTTCAAATGCGGACCGGACAACCTTTATATAGAAATTCCCAATGCAAACTAGCCAAGTCCAAAGAACAGATCTACCAGCTAAAGACAAACCGTTGAATCTAGTCCAGAAAATTCAAGTATCTTAGCATTGAAAAGTCTTTGCAATACTTGATGAGCTCTACGGTAGAGAGGGCTAGCCTAAATATGCATATTCCCTACAATGAGATCAGTTTTCATGCCCTTAGTGGTATGGTCTGGCTCAATAGTAGTCTAGACTCTTTTGATAAACTTCAGTTTTCTTATACCGTTGGGTTTTAAGTTGGTGCTAAATATTGACTACTAATGTCTAGTCTACGAGCTAGGAGATTTAACTCTCTTTCTTTGTGGGGGAGACAAATGTATGAGTCTAACGTCTCTAGTTTTTATACTAGTCGTGCGCTAAAATGAGAGGAACAGATATGACATCTCGCTTAAACGAAGGCGCGAAGAAGTTTTGAGCAATGTGATTCCATGATCGTGGTTGGTTGTGGAGAATATAGATACTTTATCTATGTTTTAATCTTTATAGGGATAAAGATTGATATTTTCATCATTGAGAATACATTTCAGTTGCAATTGCGTTTCTGTCATGACAGGTTTATTTCAGATTGCATATTACATTGTGCGTTATGACTTACGTCACACACTTGACTTTATTCAGGTTTAAACATTTTTCCGACAATAAAAATTTGTGAATTTTCAACGGCCGATATACTATTAGACGAGTGCGTGTGGGGAAGTGATTGTGCAATTCCTTGGGACTTGATAGTAATATGGTGTAAAAGTTTCACTACTTGAGCTTCAATAGTTCCGTTCTTCTCTTCCAAGATGCAGGCCAGGAGAAGATGAGATCATAGAACGACATGCACATTTTAACGCTTTGAGGGGGGGCTTGGATGGGAGAAGGTTTTAACTTTTAGGACAACATAGCTCATGAATATGAAGCCCATTGTTCATTTGATGTGACCTTCTGGTGTGTTACTGTGGGTGCGTCAAAGGTATTCCTATTCTTAGATCAAATATTTCTGTTAAAGGGGGCAGTGATTATTCATGATGAGGATAGACTTGATAGGTGGAAGACACCAAATAAACTTTCTATCGGTCGATCAAAGTCTGTGATGAAATTTCTAGAACAATCATATTAGTACTAGTGTTAATGATTTACTTTGGCTATCAATCCATCTCAATTACCAAAGGACTTGATAGCCACCAATTAAAATGTCGAATCCCGTGATGAGTCGGAAAGTTTTATCTGTCTATAGTTGGCATGACAGATGCTTAATACTCGCACAGCCTTTTTGATGACGACATAAGACATCCACGTCATCTATTCCTTCGATCTTCGAACATCTTCAACCTCTGAACTTTACCAATCTTTCAATCCTAGATTATAAGTCACAGATTTACTTAGCCGGCAAATCAAATATTCCAGCACGGCGTCGATCTCGAGAGCTCCGGTCCCAGCCAATCTCAATGAATGCTATTGTCCTAATTAAAACCATTTCCCCATCTTCTTGGAGACAATGAAAGCATTCAGAAAGAAACGTCTTCGGAAAAAAGAAACAGTGATTGAATCATATTGATGAAGTGCGACAACGCTAATTGTCGAGGGGCAGATAAAATAACGGGTGGATCACGCAAGTGTTCTACAAGGTAATTAGTTATGCTACAAGAAATTTTTGAGAACCGTTCATGAAAACTATATTTAATTATTTAACATTTCATCATACAAAATATACCGTCATTAATTATCATCCAAAATTTCCTTAATCGTTCATCGTAACCGCATTGAAGAAAATCACAGCTCAAACTTTTACCATCCCTTATTCTTTTACCTCCTCTCCTTATTCTCTGAAGTAAACTGCGTGTCCTCATGACTTGGCAAGTCCCTTTGAAGCTCGATCTGCTTTTTGACCACCAGCTCCTTTTCCATTACCAGCTACTTTTGCCTTACCAGCTGCTTTTGCCTTACCAGCTGCTTTTGCCTTACCAGCTGCTTTTGCCTTACCAGCTGCTCTTTCATTGCCAGTTGCCTTTTCACTGCCAGTTGTCTCTTCACTGCCAGTTGCCTTTTCACCACCAGCTGCTTTTTCACCACCAGCTGCTTTTTCACCACCAGTTGTCTTTTCACTATCAGTTGCCTTTTCACCAGTGACCTTCTGAACAGTCTTTGTCATTCTTCCTTCTTCAACACGTCTCTGTTCATCCATAGACCTCCTGTTCGAGACAATGCGAGCGCGAATATTTTGTATGGCGATAGCAAAAATGATGATGAAAAAGAACGCGATCGAGACACCTGCAATGTAGGCGGGTTTTTGCTCGTCACTTATGGATTTTGAATCATGTGTTGGAATACATGATCTCAATGTGATAGCTCTGCTGCAAGTACTGTTTTTAGAGGTGATACCGGCGTAAAAATTATCGGTACTGTTGGAATTCATGGTGTTGTTGGGATTCAAAGCTATAAGTTGAGAGATATCGAGTTGAATTTGATTATTTGTTTAGAAAGCGATTGTGTGGAAAGCGATCGTGTTTATTTATTATGTAAATTGGATGATAGAATTGCGAATGATTTTAAAAGAGTGATTGGGTATGATAAGAAGAACATGAAGAAAAAATGGGGAAATATTTATATGCGTTCGTGAAGTTGTACGCTAAAAAAAACGGATCAATATAGGGGTTACTAGATCCTATCAGATAGAGGATATAATTAGTTCTCATGTTTGAAGTTTAAATTGGGGATGATCTCAAAAAGTGAATGACGTTTTCCTGTTGTGCACACATAGAATTTACTATTCAGGCTGAAACTAGTCCTGTGGTACCAATTAGCTTATGGGCGATCTGCACTAATTGCGGTATTTGAACATAGATTGTCCCATGACCGCTCGGCAATGCTTAGGAGAGACATAAACATAATAAAAAAGTGTTTAGGTTTTATTCAAAGCCACAAATCATGGTTGACAGTAAGATGATATTTTGAGCTTAAATGATTTTCGAATCTGACAAGCAGATACTTCATCAAGTGCAAGGTCTTTAGAGTTCGAAAGGTGTAGAATGCTAAAATTGTTGACCCATTGACGTCATTCAAAACTCATGACAAATTGGAACTGACTACCTTTGTAAGGTACGGTTCAGCGCGACTCACAATAATGAAGAACGCGCTGACATTCTCTCTTGAGTAATGGTGCGACTAAGATGAAGGGGGAGCCAAGGAAGCTATAGAGAGGGGATTATGGATGACAAGACAACCCCTCCTAGGATACACACTCCCTATTGCCATCTTAGGTATATAACCCGTTTAGCTGAAGATCAAAATGTGTGAATTGAGACGATATGCCAGGTACTAGTGTGAAGTGGATTCTAGTGGCTCTTGGAAGAGCGACCCTATGAATGCCATTTGGGACTTTGTTTGGACGACTTTTTTCATCGTCATCTTAGCTTGTAACAGAAGTGTAAATGAAATGTGATTTGATCATAAGGATAAAGGAATGACGGTACTCGAGTCCTAGTGCTTTACAAAATTAGATTACCAAGGCTATCGAATACTAGTCGAACGCTTCTTGGAATGTGGCCTATGGAAAAAGGTCATCGATATGCAACAAAAACTTTGAAAGAGCTGCGATGAAGTTTGATTGGATGATAGTAATGTTAATGAACACCATTAGAGTTTTGGATCGGCATTAGCTGACGAGGAAAACTGTAAGGAACAAAACCAATAGCTAATCAGAACAGCGAAAGAACGTCAGAAGAAGAGGCTAGGTCAAGAAAAAATGACCTCGGGACAAAATCGTGGAGTATTTGCTTCTAGACTACAGAGGCAGATCAGGAACATGCAGGATTGAAAAAGTTCCAATCATATCTGGATTGGTAAGACAAGGTACAATGATAACTTCAACAATGATGACATATGGATTATTTCTTTCCGATATACTCATCACTTCCAAATATTGTAGCAAGGATGAAAGTTTCGAAAGATCGGAGCGATGCGGTTCACTCATCTTCTCCAACCTCTGGACATGACTTCTATCAATTATAAGCCACGTTACAAAAGTTTATTAGCTGTACTTTAGGTTATCATTCAATTCATCAACTTAAGTCCCTATCTCATCAAGAATTAGCAGATTCCCCGAAGAAGTTTAAACTTCAATCTGCAGCAATCCCGCATTCTTTGCTTCTTTGTATCATACCATTTTTCCTCCCACGCGGAGAATATCATGAGGCATGATTTGAGATTCATGCAACTCCACTCCAATACCCTTCACTTCCTTCGCCTTCGATGCAAACTCAACAAGTACCTCCCTTTGCCTTTCAGGCACCATCCATACAGGTACTGGCGTGGGAAATTAATGGAGTAATAGTGAGGACCATGATTTCCATTGGGTCTGGGAAATGGAGGTTGATACCCTATTCTAGGTGAAGCCCGCTAGGTAATCTGTTATGTAATTCCAATACGTATCAATATGGACACAAATTTGATACGGGAGATCGATAGATGGACTCCGCAATGTACAACTGACAAGGTTGGGTAAAAATAACCATTCCCACCATCTGATTTCTGCTCAGAAACATGTCTCAAGAATGTAACCGCAATGTTTCCAGCAGAATTTCCTGAAATGACGATTTCAGATGGAGACACCCAGGTAAACAAGGCGCTTGTATACAGTAACTCCTTCCTGGAGAGCCGCTGGAAATGGCAAAGCGGGATCGCCGTCAAGGTTGTATTGGACATGGTGCATATTTGGCACAGTGTTTGATGAGAAGCTCGGCCGCATCCGCCCATTCAGGTATTCGACGCGTAAATTTGGCATGTAGTAGAAACTTAGGTGAAGCATATCAGCTGCAAGATAATTTGCTGCGATGGAGAACCATATGACTTTTCCAGGATGTCTAGCGCGGAAGCCTTTCAAAAGCGGAACCATTCTGATGGTAGGGAGGGGCAGGTTTCGGCAGGAGTATAATGTCGCTCGCTTCCGAAGTTGAGAATTGTTTGTCGAATTTAGTTTAGTATACCATCAGTATGAATCAGATAGTCGAAGAGAATGCTATTTTATCTGACCACAGTGTAAAAACCAAAATTATTGGATGAAGACGGGAATGAAGCAGTGCCATGCCAGTGATTCAACGATTATTCAAGCCCCATTTGTCACCATTCTGTCTACACTTGTAGGAATCAGAAGTTAGAGACGTGCATCAGAGTTATGTTTGGTAATCAAATTTTGTGTATGTTGGGGGCGTAACTCTACCATGCAAACCCACTAATAGCACAAACCTGTCAACTTGATCAGAATGTGGTATTTGGTTCACTGCGCATTCATTTGTATACTTATTCATGCCTTTGGTGGAAAAATGTATCACTTGTTCTATAGGGTATCATCTGAATCTTCAAACTAAATCAATCCATACCAGGAAGACCTTCAGTCCCACCAATCTTTTCCCAAAATGCTTCAAAGTCGACTCCTTGTGACTCGAACATTACTTTGGCCTTCTCCATTGTGGCCTTCTGTTGCTCCGGACCAAATCCTTCTGGTTTCGAGGATTCGAACTGGACCAATTCAATCCATTTGAAGAAAAGGTTTTCCTTTCCCATCAATGTCAATTCATCCTTGAATGCTGTTATTTTCTTCCTTCCTAACTCTTCCTTACTATTTGGGTCGATAGGAGCCTCGGTTTGAATCATCCATCCGTAATCTGCATGCCATGCAAAAACAGTCGTTTTGATATCTCGAAGATCCATAGTCTTCTTATCCACCAGTTTTGTAGCCTGAATCATAGCTTTCCAGTCCAAATCCCACTCTCTGTTCAACATCAAATATCCGGTCTTTTGTGACAACCATAATGGTTCAATGGCCCTTCTGACATTCGATGCCATTAATTCCTTTCCAGTTTCATTATCTTCCTTTAAGAAATCCCCAATTGTTTGATCCCATTTTCTACTACGCCGCACAACAATCTCTCTTTCCCGGAAACCTACACCCAATCTCCATGATACCGGGTTACCAATCGTTCGTCCCAGGAAGAAATCTCGAGGCCATGGCCAAACAAAAATATATAGAAGTAAATCGATCATAAATATTGAAGCACGACGTAAAATCTCGAATCCAGTATCATTCAATGGTATCCTGTGAGTTTCAATGGTTGTCTCATTGTATTTTCCCATCATTGAAAAACAAATCTTCATGTAAAAGGGGAAGACGGTAGAAGCGCGCCATAGAAGTCCTACAACAATTGCAACGTTCATAAGCACCGGAACAAGGAAGATCTTCTTTTTGAAATCTGCGGGATGTTTGTCGATATGCGCAATGTAAATATGATACTTCGAGAGCTTCTCTAGGAATGGTTGAAGCTTTGGAGGAGGTCGTGTAAAGGGGGCAGGAGGTTCATCTGAAGTGGTTGGGGATGATCTCTTAGCAGAAGTAGTATTAAAAGTCTTCTTGGACTTCGCTTTAGGAGGCATAATGATCCGTATATACAAGAATGTATTAAAAATTATGTGGTTGTGAAGTTTAATCTGTATGGACTGTGAATTGGAAGGGCTGGAACAATGTCTCGGAATATTGAAATGCGTAGTTGGCCTGTTTTGGTATCCGTAAATTCCTTCTATCATTATGATGGCAACTTTATGAAAATTATTTAAATATTCATTGAAACGACAATGCAATCATGAGGAAAGGTCGCAATTTAATAAAGGTATGGAAACTCAAATCGTATTATATTTTATGACATTCTAATCAATATAGGAAACATCAACTCCTTCAGTATGCGCTTTTTGTTGGCATCGACTTGGAGCAATTGGCCCTACTTCGCATACACAGCGTCGATTTTTACAATCCTCTAATTCGAGATCAAAACCACCCGCCGAAGGTACTGCGGTACGAGAACCTGAAGAATATGAATCAACTCCGCTTGCGCAGCCCAAGGCACCTGCTACATCATGGCGCCCGGGACCTGGGATGGGAAGTGGTTTTAGTAAACCGACCTTTTGTGGCTCTAAAATTCCAGGAGTAGGACTTTCTGCTAGCTTCGGTCGTCCATCTGCTGGAATTCCTATGAAGTCAAGAATACCAGATCCTCCCAAACCAGAGCGACCCGCACAGCCATCTGCCGAAGAAGCTTTCAGTATAAGTCAACAACGACAAGTCGAGATACATTCAGGGCCGGGGCCAGAGACAAATAGAGCCTTTAGACCAGTACCACGTTCACAAAAGGAGAAGATTGAGATAGCTAAGGTCGCCGTGAAAAGGAAGGAGACTATGGATATACATGCGTTGAACAAGCAGCACACTGCACAGGATGCACCTTTGCGTTTTTTTGAGAAAGGCGATTCTCGTGTTCGTAGTCAGATTTCCAGTGAAATTATCAATGACTCAACTAGAACTACCACTCCACCTGAAAGCATTGGCGACCCTTCCGAGGATGTATCCAGATGGACCCAATTGAGAAAGAAAATTGACGAGAATCGACCGCCACCACCAGTTCAACAACCACAAGATCCTATCACTGAAGCTCAAGCCAGAAGGGAACAGGAAGCTAGTTCGGGGACTTATACGCCGCTGAGAAGTAGATTTCCATCAGAAAGAGGTCGCTTTACAGATGTTCCAAGAGCAGACATGTGGAGTAGGCCAAATAGTTATAATAAAAGTAATGACATGGCCCAAACCTCACGAACGAGTCCTACGAATGATTATCAACCCCCACAAAACAATGGCCACAGCAGATCCATATCCATTTCACGCCCTGCCACGAATTCTGAACCCGTACGCCCAGCTCAATCAGCACAATCTGCTCGCAGTATGTTAAAACCTCTTGGATCTTTCGGACCTTCATTTGGCTCAGGCTTTGGTAAGGCTGGTGGAAGTAGTTTCAAGATCCCTGGTTTGACAAGTCCAAGCCCATTGATTGAGTCGATGAGACCTCAGGAAGTTGAAGATTCGGTTGAGAAGCCTTCCGAAAATCAGGTGGCTTATAGCCCACTAGCGACAGAGTCTGAGGAGTCGAATGTACGTGAAAAAGTGATCAACGAATTTTCGTCTCCAGTGGAATTGGAAACAAGGCATCGAAGATTATCGGGACGTTGGGGAGCCGACGAAGATATCGGGAATAACCCAAATCACAGAGATCACTCGCTGCCAAAAAATGCCCACAGTAAACAAGCCAAAAAGGCAGCCAGGAGACAAAGAGAGATCAGAACGGACCAAGACGAAGATGAGGCGAGTGATTTAGCTGCTGAGCGAGCAGAACTCAGAAGGCAAAGAAAGCGTGAAAAGGCGGCAAAGAAAGCAGCTGCACCAACCCCTATGATTTTGCCAGAGTTTATCAGTGTCTCGAATTTAGCCGTCGCACTCAGAGTCAAGCTTGAAGATTTCCTCGACAAATTGGAAGAATTAGGTTTCGAAGGTGTTAATCATGATCACATTTTGAACGCTGAAAATGCTGGACTTATTGCTATGGAATACAATTATGAGGCTATCATTGAAAGAGGCGAATCTGAAGATTTGAAAGCTAGACCTCCAGCCGAAGACCCTTCAATACTACCTCAAAGAGCTCCGGTTGTTACTATTATGGGACACGTTGATCATGGTAAAACTACAATTCTTGATTATCTTCGAAAATCCTCCGTTGCGGCATCAGAACATGGTGGTATCACACAACATATCGGAGCATTTTCTGTACCTATGCCTTCAGGGAAGACAATTACTTTCCTCGATACTCCTGGTCATGAAGCTTTCTTGAGTATGCGCCAAAGAGGTGCTAATGTTACTGATATTGTGATTTTGGTTGTTGCAGCAGATGATAGTGTTAAACCACAAACTATTGAAGCTATCAATCATGCCAAAGCAGCAAAGGTACCAATTATTGTCGCAATCAACAAAATCGATAAGCCTGAAATTGATATTGAGCGAGTCAAACAAGATCTTGCTCGTCATGGTGTTGATGTAGAAGACTTTGGTGGTGACACTCAAGTCGTATGCGTAAGTGGCAAAACTGGAAGAGGAATGGATGATTTGGAAGAAGCCGTTGTTACATTATCCGAAATTCTTGATATGCGTGCCGAAACAGATGGTCCAGCAGAAGGTTATGTTATCGAAGCAAGTATCAAGTCTATGGGTAAGGTTGCTACAATCTTGGTTAGAAGAGGTACCATGCGACCAGGAGATTTTGTCGTCGCTGGTAAAACTTGGGCTAGAATTAGATGTCTACGCAATGAAGCTGGCATGGAGATTGAAGAAGCTGGTCCAGGTACACCGGTAGAAATCGATGGATGGAGAGAACAACCATCTGCTGGAGATGAAGTTCTTCAAGCTCCTGATGAAGCAAAAGCTAAGAGTGTTATTGAATTCCGACTTGAGAAAGAGGAAAGAGATAAACTGGCCGCGGATATGGAAGCCATTAATGAGAACCGCAAAATCGAACACGATAAACGCGAACGTGAAAAGGCAGAGAAAGAATCTGCTCTTCTTGGTGAAGAAGGCGAGAAAAATGATTCTCCTACTCCAAACAAAGATCCTACCGGTCCTAAACCTGTCTACTTTGTCATCAAAGGAGACGTGAGTGGATCCGTTGAAGCAGTGGTCGATCAATTAAACGCAACTGGTACTAAAGAAGTAGAACCTATCATTCTTCGATCTGGAGTCGGTAAACTTAGTGAATCTGACATTGAACATGCTGCCACTGCAAAAGGTTACGTCATTAACTTCAACACTGAAGTTGAACCAAATATTGCACAGTTTGCTGCGCAAAATAAGGTCAAGATCTTGGATCATAACATCATTTATAGATTGATGGATGATGTAAGAGCTGAGATGTCGAAGTTCTTACCACCACTGGTTACACAAAGAGTATTGGGTGAAGCTGTTGTGGCACAGATTTTCGATATTAATATCAAGGGAAGGAAATATAGGAGTGTTGCAGGTTGTAAGGT